CTGGACCATAAAACAACCAAGACTTCATAGCCTAATTTCAAAGGGATTAATAAATAGAACAGGTAATTGACATTGATTTTGTACTTATCACTTCAGCAAAAGTTTAAACAAAGTTATGAGTGTTTAGTATTAAAAAGAAATAAAATATCTGAATCACACAGTGAAATCCCAATTCTGATTTCTAAATTCATCAATAATGCATTGTAATAAACCTGCATAGTCAAAGTAATGAGAGTTTCGCAGAAAATTAAATCTTTTTGAAAACTCGCAACGTTTTTAAACTCCATAAAGAACCAACGATAAAACCACCGAATAGCAAAGTGGAATCACAATTTAGTAGAAATCGAAACTAAGTCTCTTTGATTGAGGTGATAGACAATTGACACTTTGGAACTTGAAAACACTCGTCCCCCTGCCCTGTAGAACTTTTGAATACCAAAGTGCAGTTGCTATTTTTTTTTTTTTTTTGTACTTCTGGTCATCAACAATTCATTTTAACACTTGCACATTGCACTTAACTGGTGATTGACAGATTGAACAAAGCAAAATATTTCAAACTTTTTTCATTGCCAGTCGTCATATTTTCCAAGTATTTGATAGATTTGGGTAACTTGCAAAATGTATTGTTTTCAAACTCATGCTGAAGGGATAAGTGTTAATAAATAACTGAATGGCGAAGTCATATTTGTACCAATGGGCCACTGTACAGTAACTACAAATACCACAGACATGCAGAGCTAAACAGAGGTCAAATGAAAACTAACAGACATCGCAAACAATAACGTGCATTCTATATAAATTTGTTAAAAGTGGATAACACCTCAGAGAAGAATGTTGATGATACAGTAATGTGAATAAACAAAAACAATGAAAGCATTCTTCAAAATTTGTAAAACAGCTCTTCAAAGAGTAATAATATTAGTTACACAATAATTTTATTCTAGTTGTCAACTGTAGCAACCACTGCTAAAATCAATCAGTCCTTAACATGTTTTGATGAGGAATCTTCAATTTAGCAGTTACTCAATTGTCAATTTGCCAAATTATATTCACTTTCTTAGCAATTAATTTATCACATGGCCACAACAGCAGAGTTTTTGTTCAGCGTGTCAATAAAAATTCATTGGACTACAAAATGTCTCTTGTTGTGTTAAAGGAGATGGTCACTCCAAAAAAAAAAATAATAATGATAAAAACCTTGCACTAAGTTTAGCCGCTCACTGAAGTTTCAGCCTCTAAAGTGCAGGTTTTCCTTACGAAATTCCTCTCCAAGGAAGCCCAAAATTTGACATCGTTGCCGCCATTTTGAACAGTGCTCAGCAGCCAGGCTGCATTTCCGTTGTGTCATTCTGTCCGAAAGATTTTGTCCAAATGGCTTCCGCCAAGCCTTTTAACTAATTTTGAGCCAAACATGCTCCAGACTCAGAAATGATAGCATTGAAGATAGTGACGTGGATAATAGTTTGGAAAAAATATATTTTGATGCAAGTCAGATGCAGGTTTTTCTCCTTCCCGTCAATTTCAAGTCAGAGACTTTTGGAGTGACCTATTTTAAGTTGAAAAAAATCCCTTGACTTCTGATGCTGAGTTTCATTTTACACTAGCTAGAAAGGGAGCTTTTGGAAAAAAATCTCCTTTACAATTGGACTGCAGAAATATTTTAAAATATGCAGGCACATATAAAACAAGAATGACTGAAATGGTAAGTCATCTACATTCAGAAATGTTCTCACTCTCCTGAAAAATTACTGTATTTCCTCAGCTGGCCCCTTCCCTCTGTAAAGAGTCCAACCTAGCCATTTATTTTTACTTGTTGTTCAGTACCCCTATCATGGATAAAAGCAGAATTATACCCTCCAGCCACCTTCCCCTCCCCCCCGAAAAAATATTCTTTCCATCTCTGTGTCAAAGATTTATTGACCCAGGTGTACATACTTTGTAACATGTACCTATGAACTGGCAAGATTGCCACGTTGTAGTATGCTTCTCCCCTCCCCCTTATTACTCCTATGCCAATCTATTTTTGATTCTAATGATCTAAATGGCAGGGTGTTGTCTAGAATGTGAAACCAATCAGGGGTACATGTATGCGTATTTCTCACATTATCACAGAACAATCTCTTCCACTGATCCTCAGGCCCATCTGTGTAAGGACACCAACCCAAACTCTGGTCCAGTACAATTTTTCAACAACAACAAAAACTTGCAGTTTGCTTGAACTTTTTGGAAGAGGAGAAGGAAGGGGCAGGAGGGTGTTAAATAATGAATTTTACTCAGAATTTCTCTTCAACTCCTTCTATCCAGTATCCCTTATAATTAGCCCCAGTCTCTTTCTTTTTCCTGTTTTGATCCATATGATGGGTGATCATACTCTAGTGTAGCAGTGAAACAGCAGCTCAGCACTCTTTCAGCCATAAATTTCTAAGCCCTTCCAGTTGACGTAAAAAAAAAAAACAGAATTTCCTGGTGGTGTCAACAATAAATTTATACACTCAGATCATTTGAGTGTTTTGTACAATCCCAGAACTTTGAATTGGAAGTGTTGATTATATCGAGTCTCCATTCTAATAAGGAAGTCTTTCCAAATCTCCTTTTCAACCTACAAATTGCGGTTGTGATATTTGATATTACTATAATTACATTGTAATCCCTTCTTCTAAAGAGCTTCCCCTTCTTACATACATGTATGGGCAAAAATCAGGAAGTCCAATAGGGGTTTCAAGGAGGAAATACAGTAAAATCATAAAATATAACCAAAGGAAATGTTATCCACTTTAAAACTAATTTGCTTACTGAGACAATGAAAGCATTTTGAATTATTTACACGTCTGTGGTATTTTAAAATTAAAAGCAGAACTTGGTTTACATCAAGGAATGCAATGATCAACTCAAAACCAATCCTTAACCTTGGGAAACCCAAGGAAATAATAGTGAACCACGACAAGGTTGGAGAGTAGTGGGGGTGGAGAATTGAGGAATACATTACAGTATGTCCCATTCTGAGGTGCCGAAAGGAACAACAGAAAAAGGAAGGAACAAAGAAAAAAAATTGGACAAGTATCATTAAGTAGTCTGTCTAGTGTGAAAGCACTGGTGCTTTGATAACCTGTCAAGCCATTATGAAAAGGTAGTAATCAGTGACTGATCAGTTATGGTCCGATTCAACTGGTTTACTTTTGGTGAAGTTTGACGGTGTTGAGGCTGCTTGAACAACATCATGTGAGTTCTGTTGAGGTCAAGAAATACTGTAGTGACTACTGTAGGGGTGACTAGTTGTTGGTATAAGTTGAGTAGTGTCTGTTCTTAGTTAGTTTCGTGGTCACTTCTATAAAATGTGTTGTGCTATAAGTTTTAATTTGAATGGAGTTGGTTCAGTAGTTTGGTCTAGTTTTTTTTTTTTTTTTTTCACGGGTACAGTACAAAAGGAACCTTCCCATTTTTTCCATTTATTCCCTTTCCCTGATTTTGAAAAAGAAAAATCTCCTGACTATTTTGGATCCTATAATAATAGTGCATTAATCAAAAAAGGAAAAAAAATGGTGCATTTTAATTCGTTTTCTGCTGTAGAATTTCATGACTTGGGTACCCTTAAGGGATGCCCTTGGGGGATTCCCCTGAAGGAACCAGGTTAAGTTTTGATTTGATCATTGCATAAGAACACAAGTGTTTACCTGGTCCTGGATTGCAAAANGTTTACCTGGTCCTGGATAAAAAAAAAAAAATCATTATTCTAGAATAAGCTTGTGGATAATATCCTCCTCCTGTCTTGTCCTCAGGTATTTTGTCTTCAGCTGTTCAAAAGAAGAAATAGAAACATTTAGATACTGTACAAATGTTTATAGTGTAGTGGCATAACACCAGGTGAAATGGTCCCCAGATTAAGAAGCCTTCCCAAAGTCCTGGAGTTATGATGTTGAACACAGCACTTTACTCAAACAGTAACTTACTTCACCAAGAATTATAAATGGATACCAGCAACCTACAGTGGAACCCTGTTAATACAGTCATCAACAGGCCATGACAATTTGGCCATATTAACGGGTTGACCGTATTAATGGGGTAGGGTCAAATTTCATGCCTGGTCTAAACTGAGTGACGTTGTTACGAGTATCGTTGTAGAGCAGGGTTGTTTCCAGACAGAACTCAGGATCGCCGGTAACAGCAACAAACTAATTTATTTCTGTAAGATAACTTCACNAGTAGTTTGACACAGTTTCTAATCTGAGTAATGACATAAGGATTAGAATGTTCTGGAATGTCCTTATACAAATTGGTCACGGCTGAATGACGTCAGGTTCTAGATTGTTCTAGAACTAGACTTAAACAATTTTTCGTAACAGACGTCCTAACAGAAGTAACAGATATTAATATCACAATTCCACTTCTGAACCACTGTTCTTTTATAAACATCCAGAATGCAGATAGAATTTTAAAAAAACTGAAACTTCAATCAGTTCATACAATATTTAGATTGGAAAGATGAACGTAACCCTCACCCGGACGATCACACTATACAAACTACTGATAATCCTATGTTTAAACCATTTACTATATAACTGGCCGAGTGACCGTTTAAACAGGGTAAGATTGTAAAGGATTATACAGGTTGGGATTTCAAAATGTGGCAGCTAGTCATATTAAAGGGCTGGCCGCATTTACAGGGTTTTTCTATGAGAAAAATGTATGGGCATTTTGCCAGGACAAAAAAATGTGGCATAATAACAAGGTGACAGTAAGGTGGGGTTCCACTGTACTAGACTAACAAGACAAATCAACAGAAACAATTACAGAACAATGCTTTACAAGTCAAAACAAGTCAGTCTGCCCAAAATTAGGTTGATTCTGAAAAACGAAAATCGGCCCAAAAAGCAATATAGGCTGCTTTTTTGCATGAAACCCTTCAATTATTCAAAGTGAGGTGCCAGCACTTTAATCCTTCATCTCTTTGGTTACATTTATTTCTCTGTCAAGTTCTGTCATCAACTGACTTGTGAAATGTGTTGCAGTTTACCCTAGCACTAGTGAAAATTTTAAGTGTTAATAAAAAAATTGCCAAATGAATGTATTGAATGCATTTTGTTGTTATCAAGGGTTACATTAACATTTACAGCAGGAGGGCAACCGGTTTTCACAGGCAGGCAAAATTCTTTCAACTGAAAACCTTTTCCCTAGATGGTAAAACCAAGCTAGCAAAATCATCCTCACAGCCGGTCAATTTGCCTGTTGCCTAGCACCTCATGAAACTCCTGATTTATTATTAAGCGACAGTGTCATAGTCCATGCATGTGTGAAATGTTGAATATCGTTACAGAATTCTGTGTTCAATACACCATTTGAAAGGTAAATGTATGCAGATTCTTAAGATAATAAAGATACATACAATGGACACCTGCAGATTCCAGAAAATATCCATGCCCTTCCATCTTCATCTAAACCCCTTTCTTGGCTTAGGAAATTCCACTGTGCTTAGGAATTCAGTAATCAATCAACTGCCCCCTTCCCTACAAAAATTTCAGCCTCCAGGTTATTCAACAGTCTGTCAAATAACATCAAACTTGAGTCTAACGCTAAAACATTTGCAAGGAAAGCTTATAAGTTTTTGACAAGTAAAAGCATTTCAAGCAAATTAATTTCCAAAACATACAGCAGTTTACACATAAGCTTTATTGCCATGTGTTGTCTCATTCCAGATAAATTACCCTAAAAACTCTTGTTTAAGACAAATAACTCATCTGAGATAAAATTATTCACCATTCGATTTATTTGATCTTGTTTGCTGTGTGTGTGTGTGTGTGTGTGTGTGTGTGTGTGTGTGTGGTGGGGGGCAGCACTCGCGAGAATACTGAAGATACCGCCAGTGGGAGGGGNGGGGGGGTGTCATACATGATGGTGTTTCAAGCAGAACGAAGCTAACTTAGAAGCAAGCTGGAACCCGATCAAAAGGGAAAGAAATACATATTGCTACAGTTAACAATGTAAATAAATCAAATATATTTTGTTTGTCCAAAAAGCTTACCTGCAATCCGAGTTCAATCGCTCGCCAACACTGAAGCTCTCCAGCTCCAAGCGAAGTTCTTCCCTGAATATACAACAGGTACACTGATAAGGAGAAAGTCCTCAATACGAACAAAGCATGAAAGCACTTCAAGGAAAGGTACTAAATACACAGTGAATAAGAACAAATTAACCTTTCAGTCTGCCTTTTTTTCCGCGCCCTCATTCAACTTCCGCGGTTCAACAACACGAACTGTTGTTGCAAAGAATGCTGGGAGCGTTCACATATTTCGCGCGTTACCCACGCGAGTTGGTGTCGTGACAATATTCGCGCGTAATCCATATTTCGCCCGGGTGTGTGTGGGGGGTGGGGGGAAGAGGGGGAATTGGGGGGTTACTCCCAGAAAAATTGGGTGGGGGTGTGCGGCCCGCTTCCCAAAACCCTTACTCTATTAATGACCAAAATCTGTGATTTTCCCTACCCTATTTATAACCGGACCAAAAATTCCAACCCTATTTATGACCTGACCCTTACATCAAAACACTGTTACAGACCCGCCTTATCGACTCCCGATAACTCGAGCCTTCAAGGGAAATTGAAAAAGGTTCCAGTTATGAGGAGTTCGAGTTATCGGGAGTTGAGAACAAAGGACCGGAAAGAAGGAAAAAGCGGTGTTAATGTTTTTCTTTTCATGCAGTCAGGATTTTAATCAAATTTAACTGCACTTCAAGGAAGCCAAGAGATTTATTGACATTTTGGAAAAGGAGTTAAGAAGTAACACCTTGTGAAAACCAGCAGAACCTGAACTGAACTGACACGTTTTGTGTAATGTAAAAGAAAGAAAAAAGTTAGCACGGCTGCTTCAAAAATTTAATGTTTTGGACTACAGTACACTGTTTGTTTTGACTTGTCACGTATTGACGGACATTATCGAGGGTAAAATTATATAGAAAATGACCTGAAGGAAAACGAAAATTGTTTTGAGTTAGCGGGAGGTTCGAGTTATCGAGAGTTCGAAGTTACCGAGGGTAAAATTACAGTAAATGTATGACGGAAATCCAGGGGAAATCGATTAATGATAAATTAATGTTAAAATGCCGTAATCAGAATTTATGACGGGCTTTTGTTGGTTTTCTTTTCGATAATGCTGAAAAAGTGGCTTCTTGTCAAAAAAAATACCCATATCAAGACTAGAGTGCAAAAACCATACTCTATTTATGACCAAAATGGCCAAAATTGATACCCTATTTATGACCAAAACGGCTGAAAAACCATACCCTTTGGGGCCGCATATACCTATATAGCCCATATAAAGCCTGGTTCTCATATCCTGCCGACCTACCTGCGACGTAGTCGCCGGTTGCAACTGAAAATGTTCAGCGATCTGCTCCAGTGAGTCCCCGGCGCATCTGCGATGGATCGCCGACGTACTCAAATTTGCGCGAAATGCATATGGAATGGGCGCAATTTTCAACAATTCCACCTGTCAATATGGGTTGAATCGTCTTACTGGAGTACGTTACGTCCGCAGATGATGTTCACATAAAATATTTTCATCGCCGACAATCGCCGACAACCGCCGGCTTGCCTGCGAAGTTGAACTCAGCTCAACTTCGCAGGCAAGCCGGTGGTCAATGCCTGGGACGGATTATGATTCGACGATAAATGTTCACATATGCCGCACTGGTGTCCCAACCATGTCCCAGGTAGGCTTAAGGGAGAACCCCTCCCCCGGGATATTTTGATCCTCTTTCATTCATGTCTTCACGGATTGATATTTTAGTTGCAGTCTGCTGTGACCGGACCGAACCTCCCTCTTCGTAACTTCTGGCCGAAAATTTATAGGTAGTTAGGTAGTCACCCTTAAGGCATTTTTACGAATAATTGACTTGAGTTTGTTAGCACGCGAGGGCAAAACGCGCGGGAATTCCTCTCATGGCTAACCCTGAATTGAAGAAAGTTACGAGAAGGGAGAATTCTATCGCACTGCTAAAACTCTCCAACCTGGTTGTAATGGCGCTTTACCATCTCGCGCTAACAAAGTCGGTTATCTTCCGGAAGGGGTGTTCCACGAACATTTGGGTGGGGGTGTGCGGCGCGTCGACACTTTAAAACCAAACAACGCTATTTTCCCTAATCTTTTTTCAAACCTGATCCTTACATGTAAATCGATATACACTATATTCAGACAAGGCCTTATCCAACAAGTGCCTTGGTTCAGACAAGAGACACATGAACTAGAAGAATAAAAACGTTAGTAAAAGTTAGAAATAAGTTCCACACTCTCGTATTCTCAGCTCGGTATCAGACTGGAACTAGCTTGCAATGGAGGCTCATGACGGGGAATATCATTAAAAAGAGATTAACATCATTTGCATTTGAAACGACTCCCTGCATTAGCCTCAGTTGCAAGCTAGTTCCAGTCCAATACCGAGAATACAAATATGGTCTAGTGCTGACCGGCATATGCAAACATTTTTCAGACCAAAATGTTCAAATTCAGACCAAACGGGCTTCAAAACTACAGGTATACCCTGACCGATAAATCCGGTCAAACGAAATGTTCACAAAAATTAAGTAAGTCAAAACAGCTTAAAACGGCATTCAATAGAATCTACTACCGCGGACTGGCATTCAGACCGTGTAGACTCTCCTCTTGGTTGTGGTATATATCAGCTGCTCCTTGCCTCACAGTACCCCTGCACAGTACGTCCTGCAAGGCGCATCAAAGGGATTCAACTGAGATATCTACCGATTGTTCTCAGTAAGGTTGTTACAAGAAAAATGAAAAAGGAAATTATTTTCTTTCGAAAGAAAGAAACGTAAATTGCAACTAAACAAAAAAATACGAAACGTTATAAAAGCTCGAGGTTACCGACTTTTTTAGGTAATACAAAGTGTTTGCTAACCTTAGTAACTGCTATTTCTGACAAATCTTACAATTTTTGGAATGGTGAAAATGACCCAAGAAAAAGGGAAAGAGAGAAATAAGGAAAATTGTTCCCAATCGCCGCCGCGACCAATTCTCGTCTCCAGAGCCGCTTGTCCCTCAAAACCTGCCGGGCCTTAGCACGAGAAAAAGGTGCATGGAATAAAAGGCCCCACCGGCTGAGAGGAACAAGCGACTCTGGGGTCGAGAATATGTCGCAACCTCACTCAAAAGCAAAATTGGTATCGATTTTATTCGTAAGGAAATCTGCTGCCTATTGTGCAAAGCATAAGTTAAGCCTTTCAAGTTTTGAGAAATCCGTTTGAAAAGTTGTATATAATGATTATAGTGATTTATATACTCAATGTGCTCTACTGTACAGTACTATGAGCATATAACTGATTGACACGCAACAATAAAAGAGAGGTTCTTTTGTTCCTGGTTACTTCAAGAGACTTTCCCGGCTGGCCGCACCTTAAGGACCTCAGAGATAACGTAACCGAACCAATGAAACAATGAACGTTTTGTGCTGAATAATATAATCCTGGAAAAATAGTGAAATCATGTCCCGAGCTAATTCAATAAGGGTTTGATAGGAAACAATTGTAACGAGTGCAAGCCACTCGCGCGCACAACCCTTGTTCTTTAAACTATTTAATAGTTATAAGTCTAGTCCCAGGAGTCCCTGAACTCTCTTTCGCTCTCGTGAAAGGACTTGAATCCAGGCGGGGAAGGAAGAGTTCAGGGACTAGACTACTGTTGTGGAATCGGAATATTCACTGTGGAATACTTTCATCTTAGAGTTATTCAATTGTTCAAAACTAACTCTAAATAGCACATATCTAACGTTGCAGTAAATAACTCTTTTTTCGGTGTTTTTGCTTACGAGTTTACATGTTTACGAGTCACACTTTTCATCAGTATCTTGAAATAAATGAACGCCGTGTGTGAATGTTCAGTATCATTTAAAAGCTGAATAATTTGATCTTCACTTCTCCCACGTCCTGAAATTAAAATGTGTGTCGGAAAAGATACTAGTAGAAGAAAATTAGTATACTTGCATAGAAAACAGCCTGATTATTTGTTTCTTTCCCATCAGATTCCATGTTCCCAGATGGTCCCCAGTTCCCATTCCCCTGGTAAGTTGAACTTGTTAGACAGGAAACTCTCGCCACATCTGTGGTCAAGGTTGGAGCTTAAAGACATATCAGTCATGCACCTTAGAATCCACAGAGCGCCTTATACGTACGCTTTCAAGTCTACAATACGTGATCATACTCGTTCGAGTGATCACAATGGTGATAGACAATGGATAGATTGCTGTCGATCGTACTCGTATGTGCGTTAGAGCATAATCTTAAAGAATCCAATCCCCTGCTCTCCTCCCATTCTTCAATCGTCTATCTGAAATCCCTGCTAATCGTTTCCAACAAAAACCTGTATAATGACCTCTCAAGACAAGAGACAACAAAATGTGAAGTTTTTCGCGAAATTTAGAGCAAGTCCATGCTGGCTTAGCCTATGATGACAGTTGATTTACACTGTGCCATGCTGTGCCGGCTCGCTTATGTCTCCGTACTACCCAAGAAAAATTATACACATAGATCAGTTCTGGCCGGTCACAAGTCAGTATCAGAAATTAATTCCGGCAGTCTGCGCTAACAACGACCAGACATTCTGTTTATGTTACTCGTCTCTTCGCTGCTTATGCTTGACTCAACGTTAATGACACAACAGCAGGCTTGTTGTAACACTATGGAAAAGCTATCAACAACACGTATTCAGTAAGGGGCAGAGACTGAATTAGAACATCAGACTTGGTTTTTAAGTTCCCCATTGTAAATCAGTGAACACAAAGTTGTCTCCCATTCGAGAGTTCATCCAGCAAACGAGACAAAAAATCCCGCTTCGAAGTGTTACCAACCAGTCCATGTTTGCAAAACGAGCATAAATATTTATGGCTATAAAGTATATTTGACAAATGAGGAAAGAATTGTGGATTGCAGAGAATTGGACATCAAAACGATGAAAACGTTTTCTTTATAAAACTAGCTCGTTAGAAATAAGACACGAAAAAACCGCTGGAGCACAACGATTTAAGACGAACAAAAAGACCGAATAAAAAATAACAAAAACAAATCAAATCGCGTAACTTTATCCTTAGTTTTACAGAAACTCACGAGGCAGAGAAAGGATACCTGTTGAGTTGTCACGGGTGACTAACTGTCAATGATGTAACGAAAGTTCAACGCGTTCTTATTGGCTGGTCCGTGACAAGCCTGTTTGTAATAAACAAGATCGCCACCTGCCATGTCAGTGTTTACACACTGACGTAGTCAACCTTACAAGGCGTTCCAAACTAGCGATTAACGTACTCTTTTAGGAATTAGGTAATTTTTAATTCATAAACGGTCCGGAGATCGTAGTTTGACTAGGGTGATCTTTCGTCTAAAATTCTTCAGGGATTCAAGGTAAATATTCGATTTTACAGACCGCGTTTTACAACCTGGCAGCAGTGAATTTACGAGCCAAATTAGCTTCCGGGTGCTCTTGCAGTAGGCGTTGGTCGATGACAAACTTTCCCAGCGACCCTAGATTTCACTTGTCAACAAATCTTGAGGTCAAATACGGAGAGACAGCTACCATTTCTGAGATAAGTACAATATATTCTTAGTCATTTGAGTAACAGTTTTTCCTGTTCTTTTAAGACGTTAAAGCGAGCCCTGAAGGCCAGGCAGTGTTTTAACGAAGGTGAGTGAGTAAGAGAGTGGATAATATTTGCCCCTATCCGACATGTGTGGTCGAAAGACCGGTGGCTTCACTCATAAACAGAAAATATCACCCGTTAGGTGCTTCCTTAGTTTGTGCCAAAACTCAGCCAAATCACCGAGGGAAATGAAGATAACATAGTGGTATTTCTCCTAATCTTTTACGGCTTTTGCCTACGAATTTCTACATGTTTTTTCCAATCGTTAATGAAAGTGGGGTGAAGTCACCAGTGTTCTTATGGGTCAACCTTCATGACGGGTCTATATTAATTGACGCGAGTATTTTCAATATGAATATAAAAGCTGAAATGATTTTGTAACCAAGAAGAAAACGATGATGGAAACTTCTTCGTTATCAGTACAGAGTAAATTACCTTATAAACCGCAGCAACGATTAATCATTAGATTCTCTTTACATTACCATATAACAAGTTCAAATGGGGAAAATCACAGAATTAGTAGAAAATGTTTAGAAAAGAGAGCGTTTTGATCTAGATGATAAAATATGGCGGAGTAATTCTAATGTGGTTTCTGATTCTGTCTCAAAGACCAACATTTTTTGCCGTCCGAGTTGGGCAACAAACAGAACATTTGTGGAAAATTATTTCCGCTAACGTTTATGCTCTTTAAAAGTTTTCGTGACAACTGAAGATAATTTTGATATGGCACCAAACCTGATTTTGTTGAGTTTGTTTAGACTGCCATGCATACATAGGACCACAACAGACAGCTCTTTTGTGGTCCTCTCACGAAGTTCTAGAACTTCCATGGTAATTTTAAAAGTTCGCAGTGAATGGAAGGGGAGCATTTTCCGTAATTATGTTTGTTTTGAGACATGATTGATCATCGCAGTCATGCACACAACTGAAGCAGTTGGGAACTGATTAAGCCTGAGAAAAATTCAAGCCTAAATTTTTTTCAGGCTTAATTTTACAATTGCTTAAGCTGTGTGTACAACTGCGATGATCAATCATGTCTTCGTATCTTTCTCCGCAGTTCAAATATATGATCTTTGATATAGTCACTTGTATATGTTTGTTTGGTGCTTAAGAGATATTCCTGGGCGTTTTGTTATAAGAAATTATTGGCGACAATCTTTGCAACTTAAGGGAAACAATGATTACATAACATAATGCTTTAAGGTGTAACAATTTCTCCCCAATGTTGTTTATCCATACAGCGGATCGCTGACCAACCAATATGACACGAGCAACACTACTGTTGTGCTTTACGTTATTTGTCCTGACACATGGTAGGTACAAATATTCCTGTTTCAACGTATTCAATATGTTACTCTGACTACTACTTGACTTTGCCTGTATGTTTCTTGTTATTATCTAATTTGCATTATCCTGTTCTGTCCATATTTCAGCGGCCCCAGAGCCCAGCAAACGCGGTTGCTGTGCCCCGGGACCCGACTGCGATAATCCCTGCGCGGACCAACAGGAGCCAGCTCCTGAACCTCAGCCGGACCAGGCACCACCCATGGCAGGATACATGCCGGCACCTGACTCCCAACAACAATTCATGCCCGCTCCTGATGGCCAACAACAATTTATGGCTCCACCTGAAGGCCAACAACAATTCATGCCTGCACCACCGGAGCAGCAGCAAATGGACCAGCCAGCGCCAACGGATCAACAACAACAGGACTGCTGTCCGCCAGGACCTTCCTGCTTCAACCCGTGCCCTGCCCCACCTCCTCCACCACCCAGTTTCTTCGTCCCTCCTCCACCCCCACCCCCAGCGGCCTGTTGTCAGCCAGGTCCTACTTGCGCCAATCCTTGCCCAATGCCCCCACCCATGCCTGACATGGGAATGGCAGGATGCTGTGACCCGTCTGTCATGCCAGTGTGCCCAAACCCCTGCCAACCCCCACATCCGCCCAGAACTGCTTACGCACCATACCCAGGTGAGTAGTAACCGAGATGATTATGGTTAATTAAATGAGCATCGTTGATTGGCAGTGATAAATTTTTCCTGAGCTGAGAGGCTGTACGTTGGGACTAATTAGTAACGATGTGAATTTACCGAATGCACTAAGAAGCCACGTCCTCTTTCTCTCGACACCAATGTCTACTTCTTGTCGGGAACTCAAGATATAAATTAAAGAGCTTGTTTTTACTTATAGCTAAAACAAAGTACGGAAATGTTCTTCAGTAGTTTTAGTTAAAACATGTATCTAACCCTGTCCCTAACCAATGGTGTTTTGTTCTACAGGTGAAATTACAATGAAACTCAAGCAGCCGTGGAAGTCGGAATTCACTGACCACGCCTCTCCTGCTTACCAGATCCTCGCGGGTAACCTTGCTACAGCGGTAAGTTTATTATGAGTTCAGCGGCTCCACAAAAAAGATATTTGTTCCCGTGTTATACTACCCCGCTACCCCGCTTTTGCATTCCCTCTCGGCCAAATACTAGCCCACCAGTTGCAGTTTGCCTCGGTCCTTGTATTATGCCACGCTGTTAAGAAAGTTAGCCTAACTTACTTTCCAAGAAGCCACCGTGCTTTCATAAGCTCAATGGAAAAGTCACGCAGAATATGTATATTTTCAGATAAAAACAGCTTTGCGAAGAGAAGCCTATGTCAACAATATTTATTTCAGGTAATGTTCTTTACAGCTACGTTTTACCCATATCTTTAAACGGTTAGTCTGATGCAAAACTACAAAAAACACAAACCTGTACCTTACGTGTGCAAAGCACATGTCTTTTGTCAGTAGGAGTTCGTGCATTTTCAACCTCTCCTGACTATTGCCACACAAGCATCTAACCTATCTAAATGGCAAAAACCTTTTTGCTACGTCAGGGTCTGTGTGCTACTAATAGTAAAAACACATTAGACCCGTAAGGAGACTACACTCAATAAAATGAAATGACAATTAAGCTTGTAATACCCTTCTTAGTAGACCACATTTCTTTTCAGTTTCATAATATTTGCTTAGATATACGTCAAGCCCGCCCTTTTCATTTAAGGTTTAGAAAAGTTAGCAATTAATCAATCAGTATTTCGTGGTGCTCTTACTGAACTTATCTCATCTATTTACCTGAAGGGAAGGATACGTGCCCGGAAACCCTTCAACTCAGCCAATCACAGTGGCGCATTTTATGGTGGATGGTGGATCAGACGACGCGTCGCTTCTACAGCAAACAGTAACACCTGACGAGTCTCTCGGAGATGGACTTAAAGTTTACAAGGATTCATTTAACGCCTACTAGAAACAAAGCCACTGACAAGGTGTGGTCATACTTCACATGTAACAACCAACTATCGTTCATCATTTGAAAACTGTGGACATTATAACTCAAATGTCTACTATAACCTTTGCGCAATTATTGTTATGCAATGAACAGCTAGCTATATGACGCGAAGATATTAATACTAAAATGTCATTTAGAGTGGTTTTAGAGCGATTTTTGCAAGACAACTGAATTCTCTACATAAAATTGGATGTAAGGAAGTTGAGCATGAGACAAGTTCTAACCAGCTAGAACAAACGTGCTGTATTTTTTCGGCCAACGGTAGGTAAAAACTGAGCCACTCGTGATTTCCCACGCGTGGCGCCGGCTGTGTGTTTTTCTCTCGTTTCTGATTGGCTCAAATCGTTATAGGCGTGTTGATTAAACAGTAATTACATTTTTGTGTCACAAAATAACGTCAATAATCATTAGAAACGTTAAACCTATTTTTTTTTATAACGTATACGTTTATAAATGACTGGTTCATATGCGTTTAATGACTTTAATGACTGAATATTTAAAATCTGTTATGTATCAGATCTGCTAGTAGCTGTAGATATCCTACATACATACGTCATAGGAATATCGTCGCTATAATAAATTATACTCAGAGAGACGTTAGCAACGGCTAGGACTTTCTCGGCATTAAAATCCAGGATGGCGCTTTTCTTGGAGTAAGGCGCCATATTGGATTTTAAGACCGAGTAAGCCCTGGTGGCAAGATTGGTTCAGAGCCAGTCCGGTTCAATATATTTTTGTTAACAAAGATAACACAAAATAAAAACCTTGCATTTTTCATTATCACGTTCTCACTTTCTCATTTTCTTTACTCGACAGTAAACGACTTGCAGGACAAAATAACGACAGAAAAGTTACAACGGACGGACATGAATTGATGGTGTGGGACACTACACTGCCCTGTACATAGAGTCCAAATCGACTGACACCGTTTTCTAGGTTTCAAAAAAAGTTTTGTTTGGTGTCGAAATGTGAAGCAATTGTAAAAAAATATTTGCGCTGAAGGACGCGTACATCAAGGAGACAGTTCATGCTCAATACGTAAAGAGCAGATTGAACCGTGTTATTACTGGTAAACACGTATGTTATTATATTAAGCTACTTCAATGTTGCTGTGTAGCGGGATCGTGACAGGTTGTACAAAAGCGTTTTTCTTCACTCACATATTTAGTGTCCTAGAAGAGCTAGAGATCCAATTCAGGTGTAGTAATTGTGAAAATAAATCACTCCTTTAAATTAAATACAAAAATTCTTAATTAAAACGAGAGGATATTTTGTGTCCGCAGGACGTTTACTTTGATTTAAAGTTGGTGTTATCAAAACGATTCATCTTGGATGATTTTTCTGTTGTCGAAGGAAACAGCTCTGGTTGGCCAAAATATTAAAGCATTCGAACTGGTTCCTAAAGCAATGAACCATCTGGCTTGGTTTGCATTTTGTTGTACTCTACGTGTTACTGGGTAAAACGAAAAACAAGCGTACGTCATACGTTCAGTCTAACCAATCAGAGCAAAGGAGTTTTGGGCGAATCAGATTCTAAACCACAGCCAACGTGGTTGAGTTCATTGGCCTTCCGCCGTGCTTTCATCTGGTTCTATTTTCCAACCTTTGACTGATATATGAACCCCTTTCTGACCGTAATGTTTGCTTATGCTGTAACGTTTTACTCTTTCGAAGTACTAGGAAGGAAGTTAGCAATTCGGTATGGCATTCTTGAAGTCAACAAGTACTTGACATTAACACTCCAAATGACATAAACCCACCGAATGACGTCATCAGGAAAACTTTCGTTTACTTATTTCATCCGTTGGCACTTATTTACTTTTAAAAACAACAATAAAACAAAGGTAGATTGCATTGCTTATTTGTTTCTTGGTTGGAACAGGGAAGAGACGATAACTGAACAAGCGAGACATTCATTTAATCCTAATAAACTGAACTATACTAATTAACCGAAGTATCCTAATTAACAGCTGGAGTACAAGCACTGCATGAAATTCTCTGATAACGTTTTCTGGAGTAGGAACCTGATGGAGCAGTGGAACGAACAGACTGAAAACGAAGTTGTTTGGGGATGGCAGTAAATAATAGCTCAATATTAGGTTCAGTAAGATGCAGTTAGGATTTCTGGCATCTTCTTTGTAGACCGCTGAGAAAAAATTCAATGTTTCACGTTAGAGGATACACTACATGTATTCTATTCTATTCTATTCTATTCTATTTTTCACTTAGCTTTGTTTGAAATTTTAACATTTGACACTGATGAAGAATGCTAAATTTTTCTTTCATTTTTACCGCGCGCTACCGTGGCAAAGCCACCAACAAGACACATTCACGGAAAAAACACTGTTCGCATCGAAACAATCCACGAACCACTTGAACTGAATGAACGGTTCGTAGGAGACTAGCTATTGCTTTCTTCGCTCGATTATTCAGTCAATCCATGAATCAGAAACCGTCAAAGAAACGGCTTCATTACCAAATCTCCGTTGGTAGCGATTCGGGAGTACCACGATGGTGACTTCTTCTTTCTCTCACGCTTCTTCTGATTATCACGAGGGCGACAATCTTCGTATTGACTGACCAGTCTGTCAACAGCTGTTACGCCACCATATCAACTCCTCCCTCAGATTTGACAGCCCCACTTCCATTACTTGGGGCTTTTAACGAGTTGTTCACCTCGCGTCTGAATATTGATAAGTTTTGTGTGAATCTGCGGACATAAACACTTACATGTTAAAAACTACACGCTGTACTTCACCCAGCCTCTCACGCGAAGGATTAACCAGGTTTGTCTACAAAGAACTCATCTGTCGAACACCTTGACGAACTCTCTGCAAACTTCCTAATAAATATCAGTTGGAAAATCCAATAAAAAATTCGATTTTCACTGACTTACGGGCGTTCGAGGTAAGATTTCTTCAATCGACTTAATCACATTTGTCAGCCGACAGTAGGAAGATCTCAAGTATTAACACCTTCGTTCGGAAATTCGAACATTAGATACCCAGTTTTAGGACGCATCAACAGCGTTACCCATCTCGAACTCGATGAATAACAGCTTTTTTACCAGTCTACGTGGCTAACGGTGACTACAACTTAATTATTTATAAAAGTTACGGCCCTTTATGATAGCCCCTATGGGTATGTTGAACATACCCACTCAATGTGAGTGGAAGGTTTTGGAACTGTAAGCGTTTTGCACGCATTGCAGGCCTATGCTACTAAAAGAAAGGAGACTCTCACCTGTCCCTGTTTTTGGTGATTAGCGATGGTTCCACTCCTTCCATGAGATTCCTGAAGCACTGCGCCATGTCCTCTTGTTTCTCCAGAGGCTGCATCGCAATAACATTCCGTTGCAACTCTTGAAAATACTGAAATAAACGAAAACAACCATTACTCCCAAAAAGGGTAACAATCTGTTATGTATCGATAATGTAAGGTAACGTTAGTTACAAACTAGTCACTCTAAGCAAAACGAAGGCAGGTTCATCAGCCTGTACTGCAATACAATGCAAGCTACCCAACAAAATATTCCGTTCAATGTATTATCTCACCTTCTCATTCAACAGAATAAGGCCAAGTAGGGGCCTAGACATCGACCACTGAGGAAAAAGAGAGGAAAAAAGAAAATCAAGACAAAAATTCTGAACAAAATCTAATAAAAACAGACTTCTATTCAGGTCCATGACATCTGAGGAGCCAGAGGCCTCTTGTTAGCACTTTCCAGGATTGTATCGACGGGATTGTTGATCAGCCTAACAATAGACAGCCAGCAATTTTCACTCTCGCGCCCAAGATTTTCGTCTAGTGCTCAATGATTAAGGAATAAAAACAGGGTCTGCTACCGGGCAGACAACAAGAAACAAGACGTGAAATTATTCATGCCACTTTAAGCAGCGGTAAGGTAAGAATACTTCCTAAACTGCTACAGACTTTGCAGCAACAGTAGTTTGTTTTGGTACTCACCTGGTTTTTACAATCCTCAAACATGACAATGTTCAGTACTGTCGACAACATCTACGAATAGACAGGAAAAATGCCGTGATTAGCCTCATGCGTCCAACACAAGAAACAAGTACTAAAATAAACAAGCACTGACCTGTTGAATCATTTCAGGGTGGGACTCCAGAATTCTTAAACATGGCGGTTGTGCTTCCATCCCGTTCGCGTTTTTCTTGCGTCTCTTTGAGAGCGTTTTGAACAAGTGTGTTACTATAAAGTCTAGCGTGCCGCAGCATCCAGTGCATACCATAATATCTGCAAATCGACACAGAAGAAAACCGTTTGTATTATAACAAACACGTTAATAAATAAGAAAAAAAAAAAAAATACAATATTTAGAGAGGAACCCATATCAGCCTTAGCTGGTTTTGATGCGGGTCCTCTATCCTGGTCGAATTGGAATTTGGAGTGTTGGTTTTAATGGAAGAAGGAAAACCGGAGAAAAACCCTCGAAGCAAGGCGAGAACCAACAACAAACTCAACCCACATTTGACATCGGGCCAGAATCGAACCTGGGCCACATTGGTGGGAGGCCAGTGCTCTCACCACTGTGCCATCCCCGCTCCCCTTGAAAGAGTTGGAAGAATTTCACAGCAAATCGCGCAAACGTCGCAGTTTGTCACCTGACGGAAGTGTCTCGTTTGATTGTCGGTGGTGTTTACTAGCTATGGGTATAGCTTCTCCTTCCCAATTCCATGACATTTTCTATCTTCTAAATTTGAACTTTTAACTGTTTTCTTTAGAATTACACTTCACTGTCTTCATTCTGTCACATCAGTGCTTGCTGGTAGTTGATCAGTGGGTCTGACTATAAAATGCAGTACACAACAACCAGCGCAAAACAAACTTCTTACCTAAAGCTGTGAGGCCCTCCAATATGGAGGATAATATATACATAAAAACCTATAAAAAAAAAAGACAGTAAAAACAAATTAATCTAACTAACTCCACATAATTCCCCAACTCACAGCAGTATAATTAGATCAATGAAAGCATTTCAAGACCAGTATGGTATGGTTATCAATGAAGGCAGTGACCGTTCAACGTTTACAAAAGGGAAATCAGTTAGCCGATGTAACAGGCCATTTTCTAATCTTTTATTTAGTTCTCTCTCTCTCTCTCTCTCTCTAATCTCTAGCCCTCACACGTTACAACACTACTTACTTGAGGTTCAAGACTACTTAGAAAATTCATGTGATCCTGAGCTAGAATCTCCAGCAAAGCGTAATACGACTGACTAAGTTTTGGATACTCCTGAAAGAGAAGAACATTGATTAATGTAACAATACTTTATCAAGACTATCCAGAAATAAAATTCCTGACTGCACAATAACTCAAAGACAAAATTAGCCAGAGTAAACACTATCTTCCACGCCCAATTCTTCCTCCGCTCGGCATAACTCTACAGTGCTCTCTGATTGGTCGTACCTCTGTCATGAGTTTGGCACGCAATAGGCCATTTCCGAGTTACCTTGTGTCTCTGTTTCAAAACGAGTCCTAGTGCAAAACCTTACATATGAAAATGAGTTTCATTTTCATGAAAATGAAGCTGTAGGCGGAACTCATTTTCATATGAATAGTTTCGCACGAAGACTCGTTTTGGCACAGAGTTACAAGGCAACTCGGAAGTGGCCTATTAAAAGGACGGTCAGAGATATCTTTAGTACAAACTTTGATTTCCCTCGGACTTGATTCAAAAATTCCCTGTTAGTAGGGTACGAGCACCCCAATTTGTGTTCTGACATGCTAGGGCCGAAAAAAGAATTATCGCTCCATTTCCGTCCCTAACCTGCGACATTGTGAATTGACATTACAAGACGGGATTCTCCCCAAAGATGAAGGATGAAGTCCAAATCAAACGATGTTCAAACTCCAAAGTAAACTCTCACGCACTCGACTCAGTAAACAACTTACCAATAGATTGCTGTGAGGAATGGAAGAAAGAAGTTCCACGAACGTTTTCAGCGCTTTTTCCAAAGCGTTATCGCCGTATAAACCAAACACACCGAAGTTGACATAACCACCACATAGGGCGGCCTTCAACATGGAGAAGCAAATCGCGATGCCTTTGAGCCTGAAGAACAGTTAAGGTCCAGTAAAAAAGTTATCCTTGGTAAGCATGGTAGTCCAAAGGTTGGTGAGTTTGACTCCGTGCTGAGTGGTCCCAATCATGGTACAAAAATGTAATGGCGAATTGTTCAGCCAGCCGAAACTGGAAGGAGGGACGGGAGGGAGGGGTAACCTACGATAGACTAGCATTCCGTGTAGGGGATAATAACAACACTCCAAATCGCTTCATGTTGAAAAACCTAAGTTAGGCGCCAGCATTGATCAGACTCCTGACGCCTTGGTTGGGAAAAGAAAAAAAAATTCTCCTTTGTGTTTGTTATACGTTTCGAACATCGAGCTTTATATGATACGTTCTTTCTCTGTGTAGTTCTGAAAGTTAATTAAAGGATACTTGAGTTTGTACATCTGGTCTTCAGGTGTGTCTGTTAATGTGAGAATACGTGACCCTGAAAATTAAGAAACGCATTTTGTCTTTAATAAGATCAAACTATGAAAAAGGAGTAAAACCAGGCACGGCTACGATTGAGACAGAATGCAGATTACAGTATCAAAGTGGAGTGAGAAGACACCTATACTTTAACGCCAGTAATCTAGTTTCTGGCTTGCCTCTAACAATCACAATATCTCTCCCTCAAGTCTCGTTCCCAGAGGTCGCGATCCTTTTGGTTAGCACCAAGATGTCGAGACCTCTGGAAAAATCGGAAGGTGAGCCAGCATTAGTAACAGCGGTTACTCTCTCTACGCATGTTCAGAAACTGTTACTAAACTTGAACGCAGGCGCTCAATCAAACCGGAACCAGTATTTCCTGGTTCTGGTTTTTGATTAAGTTCAGAGCGTCGCACGCTTGGTCATAGATCGCGTTAGGTCCCCGATCGAAAACGGGGGTTCTGGTGACGAGATTTCTCTCCCTCGTCCTGGTAAGTACTGGTAATGCTGCAGCGAAAATTACACACTTCCCGAGTGAGGAACTATCATTAACTTTCATACCGTAAGCTACGATCATCTCACTGGTGACCCTGAAGAGTAGAATTCCATTGGGCGAGGAGACATCAAAGTGCAGTCTTTGTGATCGGTTTTGAACCAATTCAGCCATGAGTTTTAACACTGGTGTGGACACGTTAGGATCATGGTACCACCATTCGATCGCCCGCAGGAGAACTGATGTATATGTGGGATAGCTTGTGCAAGTTAAAGAGTCAATTACAAAACTTGCTGAACAAACTGATAGCGGTGCTACTGACGGTACAGTACTGGGGCAGAGTGGGTTTATTTTCCAGCTTCGTTATCATTCAGCGTAAGGTACAAAAACTGCCACCTTCTCTGAGAAAAGAAAGTGCCTGCCTCCAAAACAAAACAACTTTTAGCTTAGTTAACAAACAAATCGTTCGTTTCTTCTTTGTTTTGAATGCTACTGCGTGCAGCCCCAGCATGATGGATTTTATGTAAACCGCCTCATTGGTTCACAGAATTCGTGATTCGCTGATTACCGTTAAACGTAAACTTGTGTAATGATCTTACCCAACTCTTACGTTTCACAAAGTGAACTTTTCGAATGAAGTAACCCACTCCCTACCTTACGTACATGAAACACTTCAGAATGGCATCGTTTTCAGTAGCCTCATGAGGCATTAGGTACACATTACCTCAGATCTTAAAACAAATCACACCACGTACAAAACACTCGCTTTATAATCTACCCCACAGTTGGAGAGAGTTAGCTATCTATAACGTGTCATCTATCAAAGATTGTGCAAAGGATACATCCAGTCAAATAACATCATATAGCTGGATTTACTGTTAAAAGCAAAGGCGAGTCCACGGATGTCTCGACACAGACCAACAAGAGTACGCTAAAAAAGAAATACAAGCATCACTCAACTGTGATTTCCCCTCATAACGCCATTACACAATTACTGATCTCGAGCATTAGTCATTTCAACTTGCTTCAAACGGAGACGTTCTTTGCTTCGCCACAAACGATTTCCGGGACAATGAACTACGTCACGAGACGAAATCTCTTTGTGTAGCCGGCTAAACTTTTACAGGTAACGCGCTTGACATTTAGAAATACAAATTCTCCCTGAGAATAGACTACTGGCCTGAGTAAAATCACGGGAACAAACCGATGAGATGGATATTTATCTCACAACGCCGAGTGTCTCAGTCAGAATTTTCTTCTATTAAATACAGGGCGGCAATACTTAGCGAAGATGGCAAATTACGGTTACCTTAGTTTCCTCTTGTTGGAAAGCATTATTTCCCACAGCAACTAACTGACTTGCTACTGAATCCATGTTGCCTAAACCAGGCGAAAAGAAGTTAGCGATGATGAGACAGACACAGAAAAAAAACAACTCAGTTCAGTACAAGATGGCCTATGGGCTTATTACGTATGGAGGATCAGACAGTCGAACAATCTTCGGTTTGGTATTATCCTGCGCAAAACTCAAGAGACGATGCCCAGAGCAAGAGTGTCACTCGCATATCAACCGCGCGTCGCTTGCGCGTTCCGCGAAACAAGACTGGCGGTTTCTTACAATTTCAAGGACAATAACTAGCTTCACGTAATTCTCTAATGATAATGAGATGAGTATTCTTAAGCCAAACGGTTTGCTCAGTGAATCCGTCACCCTGACTGTTTTACACTGCAATAAACGAAAGAGTTCTTACTTGTGATCGGAGTCATGAACGATTCAAACTTCTCATCATCCTCGCCCAAGTCCACCATCAACAGTCTGCCAAGGGCAATGTAAAATGTGGTTCTACTGCGCATGTCTTTGTAAGCTCGAGTAGTGTGAGTTCCAAGGAAGGGAAAGTGCTCACTCTGGAAAATGAACAAAAAAATATGTGCATAAGATACAGTAAACGTTTTTTCACAATTAAACTACTAAAAATATACTCAGTATGACGTAGAGTTCTGCTTTCACTCTAAAGGAATGAAAATCGGACCATGCCTTCGCATAAATCTAACGCTTACGTTCAACATACCGTATGATTGCTAAGTACAAACTGTACTGCGTCCAACTTGACCAGTTTACGAGCACTGCTATAGTTAAGCTAAGTTAAGAAACAAACTCGAGAGCAATGCAATGAGGACAAGCGAATAAAACTGAATAACAATTCTTGAAAGTAGATTAGCTATGACATTCTATGACACGATATATAAACAATTCGTTAAGTAAAATACTAAAGAGGTAATGACAAACAAGAATGGAACAAGGATAGTTAAAACTGGAGAGAATTTCGAACAAAGACCTTGAAAAACTTAGTTTAAAGATCTTTCTAAAACATCACGAAAACCCTCGAAACAACAGAGGGCAACATTGTAAAGGATATCCAACAGACAGATCGCTTAGAAGCTGTAAGGTTTTAGAAATAATAGCCTCACTGGTGCCCCAGAACTTCATGTTGGTGATTCTGTGAACAAGAAAAGATAGCGCAATGTTGCTTAAAAGAATAATAAATAAGTTTAAAGTATATCACAGAAATTGTAAATTAAGTGACTAAAGCAACTCGATTCTATTTCAACTTTTCATTTGTCCAGTTTGAATATAAAGGGGCGCAACTTCGTGTATCAGTTCTAGCAGAAGGGAACATCGCATGTTAGTATAAATCTACTAGCGTTCTATCACGAATACCGTTCTCTAATTGACTACGCTACTCACTATCTATTCTGTGATAGATAGTGAGTAGCGTGGCAGTGTGCGCTTGTTAACAAAATAACGGCCGCTTCTTTGCGTTTCCGAGGTGTCTGTGAAGAGTATTTAGATTAAGTTTTGAACGACTATTGTAGTTATACTATATATATTCGCTCTGCGCCCTCGTCAACTATCACGCGATAGAAATCTCCAGCTCGTCATCTTATTGCTTAATAGTGACTGTTACTAAAGAGCCAACGCTTCAAATATCAGAAACAACAGCAGACAGCATGACACTCTTACTTACATTTTTCCCATGAAGACGCTCAAAACATTCGATTCATCATGGAGTCCGAGTCTATCAGAGAGTCGTCTATACACCTAATTGAACAGAGCGAAAGTCACCAGCAAATCATGATCAATTTTAATCATAAAAACGCTACCTATAGGCCGTTTCCTCTTTAAAGTTTTACTCCTTTGTGTCACACTGCGGTAGAACTTAACAACAAGTTTTCAAATTGACAAAGAAAATAAAAACTCTCCATGTACTCATAGTCGTGTAATCAAAACATAATCACAACGACTTTTCAGTGCAAGTAAAGACAACATTGATGTGATTCAATATGCATGAATAACATGCTACAAAGAGAAGAGGTACGTCAAGGTTTGATTTTCTTAATTTAGGAATAAAACAAACCGTTGATAGTTTTACCTTGGATGTTTTCTGAGCCTGGTCACCAACGTACATTTTACGAAATTGCTCAAAGAAACTCAGAATAGCGAGCTCCAGCTTCTCGCTTCCTCGCTGAGAGAGTTGAGAGTCAGTTAAATTCATTAGCTGTAGAACCCTGCAGAGAGATAAACCTACAGTGAATTTTGACTCTGTATGGAGTACCCTACAGTATTACCCTATTGATGATCTAAGGGTAACCGGTCGTTTCACTCAATCGCGAATTCGCCCGATGTCAGTGCGCCCGGACTGGAAGTCTATTCGCCCGAACTGAAAGTTCAAAGGATGTGTTCACTTGAACGTGCGAAAAAGACAACATTGATTTCACAACATTGTCATGTATGGAGAAGTTTTCTAATAACTAGTAAATTGTCATTGGTACTGTTGTAATCAGGTAAGTGCTAATAGGGTGGTTTTCACCTGAGTATTGGAAGTAATTCGCGTTTGATTTTGTTTTACTTTACAACGCTTAGCAATTGGTTAAAAAATCTCGTTCCACTTTTTCAGCCAATCAGAAGTCAGTAAAACCAAAACCAATCGCGACTCCCTCGTACGTGTTTTTCCGCGCTTGCCATCCCTACATGTATCTACTTCGAGTTTTGATTGGTTTACTGGATCGAGTTTATCCTTTGTGATAGGCCAGAGTGATCACTTTGGTTTTGGTTTCATGGGAGTCCATTGAAATCGGCTCTGATATCATTAAACCAACATGTGCATCAGCGTAACACTCACCTACAAACAAGTTCACCATCCAGTGCATCATACTCATCGACTGTCGAGTAGGACACACGTCCACCAATAACTGAACCAATGATATACACAAGCCATGTTAGACGACCTAAAAAACAACAACAAAAGCGGTAAATATACATACATTTTATATGCAATATTCTAGCAATCTGACTCAGAAAAACGTGGTCACGCGGTGAGGCTTAGCAGCGGAGAGTTTATTACAAAATTGTTCCTGAGATAAAGCTTTCTGAGCTGGTTCTGCAAGTACATCAGTGATTTATTTACTAAAACTATTTATGATAATGGGGTGAATGTACAAGTGTACCTTCCTGGATGGTCAAGTCTGTTGTGGAAGCTGAAGTGTTCTGTACCAGCTCCTGGTATCTCTGTGCTGCTTGGTCAAATAGTGAAATTAACAGTTGACATGTCTTTTCATATTCGCATCGTCCAAAAGTGGAAAGCTGTAAAGAAATTAATTACAATGATCATCAAATATGGGTGTGTGTAAAGGAGCCATCTAAGATTATAGTAAAAAGGTAAAAAGAGATCAATCTCTGTCCTTTCAATGCATGAAATACATGCAGCAACATTTTCCAAGTCTGTAACCAGTAAATCAACAGGCCAGTGTATAACTCTGGACTACATGGGATGCTGAGTCCATTGCTGGGTACTTCCCAACATTTGTCACCTTGGCCTTTAGCAGTCAGCCAGTGTACACATTTTACTTACAGGTGATCAGCCAGGCAGTCCAAGGGTGAAGTGTCTTAACCAGAACACGACACAATAAGGCTGACCGGTAATCAAACCTGGACTGCTTGATAAGGAGTCTAAGTAATATGCTAACCATTTGGCCACTGTGTTTCACACCAATGGTATATGTACATGTATGTTACCTGGTCTAGCTGTTGTTGAACTGTTCCTGAATCATCCAGTGGATCCTCTGCACTATCCCTGTGAACAAAGAAAACAGATCCATGTCAGGCTGGTTTCCAAACAATAGTCACCTTTGACACTTTTTCTCTCTAAAAATCAGCCTGCAAGTCAGTCAGTGTTGTTCTAACTTTCAGAACTGTGGACCAAAGCATGATGCGCAACCACTGAAATCAGATCTAATGAGTAGTACTATCATGTTTGTTGTTGAATGGTTTGCCTAAAAATGCAGAATTTTTCACCAGTTTTGATCCTCAGAACTTATAGGCTCAATTGACCCCATCTCACCTTATAACCACTTCTACTGAGGCCAGGCGTGATGTCACATAGGCTTTGGTGACCTAACAGTCAAAGAGAAAGGAAAGTCAACAGTGAATTAGTAGCTGACTCTAGAGCACCGTCAAGAAATACAGGAGAAGACCTAGATTTGATGGTATAATGGAAACTGTATTCTACTAAGATGTTACCTCAGGAGCATATGTTTCTAAAAGGTGTGGCTCTGTGTTCTTCACGTAAGGCATTGAAGCAACCATCCTTTGCCACAGACTCAAAAGATAATGCAGACTATTAGGAGCAAACTGCCACATCTGAAAATAACACAAAACACAGGGAAATTACGTTTTTTTATTTCTTGTAGTTGACACATCAATCTGGAAGGACTGAAAACTGTACTATACAACAGTTTTATTAAGGGCTGGGTGACAGGCAAATTGACTGGCTGCAGAAACTATTTCGCCATCTGGTTTGATCATCTGGAGGTAAGGTTTTCTTATAAAGAAGTTCAGTTTAAAAAGTTAGTTGCCTGCCTGTGAAAACCAGTTGCCCTTCTGCTGAAAATGCTAATGAAATCCCTGACAATGTTCTTGACATAGCATAATATACCCTTTTTACTAAGTGATGCATCAAGGACCAAACTGCAGTGCAGTCGAGTGCATGAAGTTAGTGTAGTCATGTGCTGAGGATTACTGGGTCTGTAAACAATTATTCTCACCTGTAAACTTGTGACAGTGAACTTTGCTATAAGTGCGATAAACTCACTGTATCCCTCAACCTTCACTATTTCTCCCAGCTGGTAGTTAGACTTTAGTCTTGCTAGGAGTCGGCAAAACTCATGATAATTATTGGGATCTGCTAGTGACTGAAAAGCAATTTATATTGAAAAAGTTAATCTAAAACGTTCAATACTACTTTATAAGTGGCTAAAGGCTGAAAATGACGTGTTCTTTATGACATTTTGTACTTAAATTTATTTTATTAAAGTACCCATCAATACATGTGTTCAACAGAATTAAATGCAAAATCATAAAATGTGGAAAGCTGTGAAGAAATTAACTACAGCGATCATTAACTATGGGTGTGTTTAAAGGGGCCATCTAAGATTATAGCTCAGAGTTGTCCATTTAAGGGTAAAGTGTAAATGGAGATCAATCTCTGTTCTTTCAACATATGAAACAAACCGATGTAAACATTCTCCCAACCTGTAACTAGTTGATCAACAGGCCAACATATACATGTAACTCTGTCTAAGAGTATTGTTTATCTCCTGGATGAGGTGCTAGTCCATTGCTGGGTACATGTACTTCCCAACATTAGCTAGTGTACGCATTCATACTTCTGGGAAGTTTAGGAAACTTAAGAAAACCCTTAGAGAAAGCAAACGCCAATTTACTTGGGAACACAAAGTACCTGTGGTTCTGTGATTGGGTGGGTAAATAGAAGATGATGACGATAACAATCATCAGATGACAAAATCAACAAGGATTACAGGAAAGATAACAATGATGACCATCATAATCAGTGTCTTCATCAATTGTCATCAGCAAAATTGCATTCCAACTTCATGAATTCAGCATATAGGGACTCAGGGGCAAACAAAGTAAGAGGTGACAGTCACAACTTGTTATCCATACCCCCTTTTCCAAAATATTCCACAAAAATACTTAATCTATTACCTGTAAAAATAAGTTGCTAACTCAAATACAAACCTGTGGAGATTCTAGAATTCTCTTGACACCTTGAACCAGTTGCTCCAGGAACTTGGCTCTTTCATTATTGTTAAACAGTGACCGTCTTATTGATGCTAGCTGCACTAAACATGACAGGGCCTGGAAATACAAGCACATTATAAAATGATTTACCAGTATAACACATAGTATTTACACATGTGATTGTACAATATTTTAAGGATAATGTTCACTATGATACCTGAATTCCATTTCTTTGTACACACTCGGATAATCTTAACACTGATTTTTCAGCCTTTTGGCTATCCAGACTTTCTATGTTGTTCTGAATTGTAGTTCCTTAGTATTCTTATTTTGGACTACACAATCAGTAAACTGTCTATCAGACTATAATTTTAAACTACATAAATTAACGTTGGCATACTTCATAGAATGTCCTCTTACCATTGGAGAAAGTGAGGTTGGCAGAGCTCTGTACAAATCAAAAAATAACTGCAGAGTGGCAAAATTTAAGAATGCTAAAAGAGAACAAGAGGAAAAGAAAATTGATGATAAACTGCTCAGCACTTTACCAATCAAGTTAAAGAAAGAACAAAACAATATCAGTTTGTCTGAAATAACTTTGAACAGAACTGTTTACTCACACCTCAATTCAGAATTATTTCTGCTGCTTTGCTCAGAGATATTTTCATTGTTGAGAGAGACTTATTTTGTCACTACATTTATAGCTTTTTTTTTGCTCACACAAAACATTACTTGGCTGGTAAAGATGAATATTTCTTACTCAGTATTTGATACTACGATCAGGGTTGTTTCCTGCTTGATCAGAATTATTTGAATGATCTGAAAGCTAATTCTAATATTATTTACAATGCCTATGTACCTCCCCTCCAGCTAGTTGGTATCTGAACTGTGCCAAGGTCATCTGATGACTCATCCATGGAGGTGCCAATGAAATCAAACGACAGACAGTTACATGTGAGTTGGAGAAGATAGCTCATCAGGCTGTGCTGTGGGACATAACAAACAACATGCAATATTTTGTATGAAAGGTATAATTTATTTCAAAAAATATAATGGAATAAAAATTCCCTGAGTTCTCCCAACAGGTTCATATGTTAAAACCTATGACCTTCTAAACACCAGTTGGATCCTCTGCCACTAAGCTTCCAGGGACTTCCCGAGCTAGGCAGTGTTACTAGTTCAGATGTGACAAATGTCCAGGAATATACTTTTGTCTACTAGTAAAAGATTATTTGCCTGACGCTAAGTTGTTGCGGTTTCAAGGTGCATGACCTGATCACGTGCAAGTTGGAAGTTCAAGTTGTTGTTTCGTTAGGGAGTTAGTGAGTTTAGGGAATTTGCGAGTTTTGACCCATGAAACAAGACACATCCTCCTCCAATGGAAAACATATTTGAGTTGGGAGGTATCACAAAGGCTGTTAGATAGCTTGAAAGGTTTACAAGTGTAGCAGTTGGACTGTATGGGTGATCTGAGTTATCTGAAATTCAGATAATTTCAAAAGCAATAAACAAAGTAGCACAGGGCTGCCAGGAATTTGATGACACAATATTACACAGTGGTGCATGTACATTGTACAATATAACAGGCAACTGCAGCTCTGCAAGGAAATGACACCTCCTTCCATCCTAGATCAAGTTGCCCCCCTACAAGTCCTTTACATTGCTTTAATCAGTTGATGGATAAAGTATGGTTACAACAGAACAATTGGAGCATTAATCAATTTTCTTGCAATTTATGGACAGTACAAGGCAGTCACACAACTAAAACTGAAATGGGTGACAAACCTGACTCCCATCTTGCAAGTTCAGCTGTTTGTTATAGGCCTAAAAATAATAAAAACACAAAATTTAAATAAGGATGTTTCAAAATTGAACTGCCTGTTTCTGTTTCAATGTTTCATTCCAAAAAATGTTTTGACTCTTCAGTATTGACAGTCTCATCTACATGTATGTATCAAGAAGAAACATTTACAGTTGAGAAGGGATACTTACCTCACGTAAAAGAGTGATAGACAGATTGAAGATGTTAAATAGAGACAGGTCTCTGAATGATGATGCAATCTAAAAATATGAAGGAGAAGAAGTAAAACTTTTAGTACAAGTATTCTGACCTACAGAGTGTCTTTTAAAAAATTGCCGGACCCTTTGACAGAATTACATTATTATTCAAGGTTAATCAACAGTATGCTCTATGAAATCTTAATACAAACATTTTAATTAACCGCGCGGCCATGGGCCGAGCGCGGTTCATGGTTTACCCGTGGTTTTTTTTTCCGCAGATTTGTCTGCGACCAGACCCAAGCTTCCACTCGGCCAAATTTTGAGTCACGCAACAGGAATGTGCACTGCGTTCCGACGGTAGTGCTAAGCAGACAGTTAAATTTTAAAAGCGCGGTTATAAGATCTAACAGATCTTCTTGTTGCCATCTATGCTGCACTGTAATGTATTGTAACTCACCTTTCTGTGTTTGGTGAGTGATCTTGTTGAATCAGCCTTAGAAGGAAAAAAGATTATGATTGCCATAATTGACCACACAAAACTTCCCTGACTTTTCACTGACCCCCGCCCCCCCCCCCAAAAATTATTTATTGACTGTAAAACTAATAAAATGAAAAGTAGCCAGTTTATGCCTTTTTCTGGCTAATAGAAAGAGATGCCTCTGACATGCATACTAAAAGACTACTATACTAGATGTGGATGGTGTACTAGCATTGGTTAGGATATATGTTGTAATTTTGTTGCTTGAAAAGCTGCAATGAGCATTTCTCTTAGTAGGATTTGCACCTCTTGATATGCATGTTAGAGGTGACTCTAAGAAAACATGGTCCACATGTGAGCGCTATGCAACAACAACATTAAAGTGGGCTTTAAACCTGCTAATGTTCTTTGTGGAACCAAAGGACAAACCTTCTACATTACAGAAACATATAACTGGCTGCCATGACTTTAATTTCATCTACAATGAACAGACAGATAGAGCCTTGGCAACAAGGAGAAAAAATAATTCTGAGATTGCACAACATGTGAATCAATTTCTCCATGATGTAGACTTCGATCACACCACCACTGTGGACAAGGCTTGTGATTACCATAAGACTTTTTCTCAAGGCCAGGCATTCTAAGACATTTTGTCACAAGTCAGGTTCTTGAGTGTAAGAGCCCCAAGGATTTATAGGGAACTCTACCAAATATTAACAGAGGAAGAGTTTAATGATCAGTATGTTCTACAGATTGCTCTACAGATTGAGTTGATCACCTGGTTCATCTCGCACACTAACTGTGACAGGATATGGACACCAATAATACAATGGTCTACTGAACCCTGTAACAACAACAAAAGTACAGTCACTTTTAGAACTATACATTCTTATGTATGTCCCTGATATTTAAATTCACTTTTGTCAATAATCCCTGAGGATAATGGGCCAGGCAATGGGTAATGTCGCAGGTGGGGGTAATGGTCCGGATGCACTCCCCTTGCCATAAATGCCCTTCCTTTCCCTTATTGGAGTGGTAGCCACTGTTTTTGGTTCAGTCTAGTGATTTAAAGATGACAAAAAAGAACTTGAAAATTTAATGTGACAATAATTATTTCACTACTACTTTTATTTTATTTTCTACTAGAAAGGGCAATTAATTAAACTCTCCTGTCTGAGTGAAATGACATTTTTCTCACACACAACTGGGGGCTTCTTGGAAGCAACAAGTGCATAGTTCAATTCCCCAGAAAAGGAGATGGACAATGATGACTTCTGGGATCTGGGACTGGCACATATGTCATGTGACATTTCCAAGTTGCCTTGTACCTCTGTTTCAAAGTGAGTCTTCGTGCAATACCTTTCATATGAAAATGAGTTTGATTTGCATGGAAATGAAATGTAGGCAGAACACATTTCCATATCAATAGTTTCACACAAAGACTCGTTTTGACACAAAGGCAACTCAGAGGTGGCTTATTTCTGTGATGTGTTCCAGTGCATTGCATTGTGTTGTATTGCTTACTGATGCAGTGTACCCTCATCAGTGGTAATGTGTAGATCCAGAAAATATCCATACCCACCCAAAGAGGGGTCGTCGCAGATTCCGGTGGGGGAGGGGGATCCCCAAAGCCAACATTTTCAAAGGAAACTATGAACCAAAACTAGAATTTCCAAAGGGATGGGGAGTGGGGTGGGGTTTTAATCTGAAAAATCCTCTGCGATAAGGGTATGGATATTTCCTGGAACCATGCAATATATCACAGTACCTGCAGAAATTTTCCAACATCATCTACAATAGTCCTAAACACCAACTCATTTTTCTGCACATCAAACCAGCTTAGTTTTGTTAACCTGGCAAGAAACTAAATAAGGAAGTACATGCATATGATGCAATTAGCAAATGGACATTAACAGAACTTTTCACCCATGTCGCATTTTCCAATTTTTTCATTCAAACAAAGAAAGGCCCCACTGCTTGATTTATCACGTCAAATTTTGTAGACTTCAATATTTTGCAAACTTCAATATTTTGTACAAAGAAATGTATACTAGGGACAATGCCAGTTTGTAACTGATTCTCATGAAACTTCACATATTTTAATACTAAATTCAGCAGAAAAATTGATCTATGGAGGTGGATTTTTCTTTACATTAAAAATATGAAAAAAAAAATTGTTGCTATTACATGACATTGAGAAATGGTTCATTGACTGAAGATTTGACTCTTGAAGCAAAAGGGTTAACAACACAAAATGTCATGAGCAATAACAGAGTCCAAACAATATTATTGTAAATTCTTGTACTGCAAAAACATAAAAGTAATTTAAGTTGGCACCTTTGGAACAAAGTTTAACATTTTATTGCATAATCCAAGACACTTATAATGTAGTGTTGCTCCATTAAATGTTGTATTTACTGTACCTGTATAAGTGACTGTGAAACATAAGTAGCAAGATTTAGTCTTGTTCCAAGGTAGTTCAGGATATAGTTACCTACAATGTGATGAAACCCAAAGTATCGTGTATTTTATTTGCTTAGGTCACCATCTACACAAACGCTCTTTAAGGGCAATTTTTGTTTATAAATTAATTAGTATTTTATGTATGCATCTTACTAGAACACTGTGGGAGAGCGGTTGGCTAATTGGATTACAATTTAACCTCTCTTGGCTTATAAATCAGCTGGAAAAGTGAGGATCCATATTTTTCAGAACAAACTTAGAAAACCAAGTTAAACAAAATGTTTAGTACATTAATCGTACTGAAAAACAAAATTAACTGATCATATAGTCGAGGCATGTGTAAATTAATTATAATAATTATATGACAAACCAGTCAAAGATGAAAACAAGAATTCTGATTGGTTCTTTGAGCAGTCTAATATGTTTGCCATGTGGACCACTTAGATGAACTGCTCACAAATGAGTTTTGTTTTTTTTCAAAGCATTGCACAAGAAGCAATTTCGTATTAAGTGGAAATCTTTTTTTCTTCCTTCAAGTTTGGCTGGCAATACGAGTTTAACTTTCATGTAAAAAAAAAATATGAAAAACTCAAATGTTAAAATGCTTAACTCTGGCATGCATGTCTTGATTGCAGAGATACATAAATTTATCAGGAGAGGTCTAAAAGAGCCTTCAAAATATATAACTTATCGAAATAGCATGAGGTGTGTATTGAAAGATATTGATATTGGCATTTTGGCACTTTTTTTGGCAAGTTCATGGACTAGCTAAACTTGTAAACAAAAAAGAACTTGACAAATATTCCCCAAATACAAACCTCATGCTAGTTCAATATGCATGACATTTATAATATATTGTACCAATATAAAGTCCCAAGATGATTAACATACTGTAAACTGCTGCTTATAAGCCCTGGGCTTATATAACTTCGTAAGGGCTTTTAGATGGGCCTATAAACAGAGGGGCTTATATTCGAGGGGGCTTAAAACTGGAACAAAAAACCATTTCAAAACAAGCTATAGCTGTGTTGATTGAAAAAGGTTTTTCATTTACTGGGTTTTAATCAAGCTTTAAGACATCATAATAAATCAAATTCAACACAAGGAAAGCTAGAGGG